GCCTGTAGCCTGCCGATCCCCTCGTTGCCAAGCTTCCCCCTCCCCGTCTCCGGCAGCACAAGCCCGGAGTGTCCCATGCCACGACTATTTATACCCCGTGCTTCAACCTCAAACCAGAATGGGAACTGGAGGGGGGGAGGGAGGAAAGAGGAAGCTGACGGGCAGAGCTGGTGGGAGAATGCAGCAGGCAGAATGTGGAGGAAACGGTACTCCATTGAAAGCAACGTTTTTATCAGCCCGTCCTCCTCCTCCTCCTCCTCTTCCTCCTCTTCGGTCTCTGCCTCAGGTAAGGGGAGATCCTTCTCTCTGGGCTTCCCCGTCTCAGGTTCTGCCGCCTCGGCTCCCCAAACTTGCTCGCTCCCCGTGTGGGGCTCGTGTCCCCCCCCCTTGCGTGGGCTGGCTTTCTGAAGAGCAGCAGAAAAGGCCTGTGGTGTGTGGCTGGGACCGTTCTGTTCCGTCCCTTAGCAGGGTCCTGAGGCGGGTTGCGGCTTTTCTGTTTCCTCCCCAGTTGGCTGGCCCCGTTCGAGGCGTTTGCCTGGCTGACAGGGCTCTCGGCTCCCAGCTGGACTGGGCTGTCAGACCTCAACCGGCAAAGAAGGTGGCTCTCCCGTTCCTGCCTCCGCCAATTCCTCGGGCTGATTCCTGCAGCCCTGTGGTTTTGGGTGTCAGCTTTCTGGGGGCTCCCGAAAGTCCTGGCTCAGCCGAAGCAGTCGTGCAACACGCTGCTGCAGAGAGAACAGTGCTCTGCACCTTGAACCGGCTGTGGCTGAGCCCTTGCCACCCCTGCGGGCAGTGAACGTCTCAGTCCCGCATGACCTGCGTGCTGGGTGGGAGCAGTGTGTGTGTGTAGGGGGGGTGGGTACATCTCTGCCTCCGGGGAATAGCGAAGACCTAGGATGCATCAAGCTTCCAGATTAGTCCTTGATGCCAGTAGGGAGACCAGGCAAGGATCCCAGGTGGGGGGTGCGGGCGAAGGTGGGGGCAGGCTGGCAGAACGCCGGGAACGCCGAGAGCCAGCCCTGTCTGCAGCCTGTGCGAGGCTCTGGGGCCAGACCCACGGTGCGGGTTGAGCTGAATGGTAAATGCAGCCTCCCCGTGAGGAGGGGCAGGATGTCAGGGCAGCCGAGCCATCAGGGTTCAAAAAAGAGCCAGATAAATTCACAGAGGTTAGGACCAGCGATGGCAATTGGGCAGGGCGGTAGGAACGGCGTCCCTGCCCTCTGTCAGAGCCTGGGAAGGGGTGACGGGAGAGGGGTCGCTTGATAATTCCCTGTTGTGTTCCCTCCCTGGGGCACCTGGCGCTGGCCACTGTGGGCAGACAGGACGCTGGGCTAGATGGACCGTTGGTCTGAGCCCGTGTGGCCGTCCCTATGTTCTGAGGAGGCTATAGAAGGCCACTGGCCCATGCCAAGTACTAGCCGTTCGTCCTCCGGCTGCGGCTACACTCTGCTGGGCGCGTGGCTCTGGTGTTCATTGCTCGTGCGATTTGTTTCCCAGGTGACTCCGAGGAGGAAGACATGGGCTTCCTGGAGGTCTCCGTCTCGGACGTGAAACACCCGCCCCCAGAGCTCGGCCCCATGCCAGATGGATTAAGCCCTCAGCAGGTCTGTGGCGCAAGTGGCTTTGCCTTCCCTGGCTGAACCGGGGGGGGGCGCTGACCCACAGAAAAATCGGTCGGCGGCTGCATACGAGTGAGAAGCAAAAAAAAATAGATCAGACCCCTCACTGATGTGGCCCCCGACTGAGGGGAATGACACGCTCCATTTTCTCCTCATCCAGCCGAGCCTGGGGGACCCAAACTAGAAGATTTTGTGTGCCCCAGCCCCACGGGAGCGCCAGCACTGGCTCCCCAATACTGGGAGGGAAGCCTTGCGCCTCAGGGGCCGGATCCAAGCGAGCTGGGGGCTGCATCCGGCCCCTGAGCCTGACGTTCTCCACCCCTGTCCTCGGAGGACCTAGAAGTGTCCCCAAGGTCTGGAGCTGGTCTGCTCACGGCCTCTTTGCATGAAGGATCCCGATGGGGCTTCTTCTGTGGAGTTTCCTTCCTCCCTGCTCAGCCCTCTTCCCCCCCAATCTCCCAAAAGGGTGAGTCTGCAAAATGGCTCCGTGTCACTGCCAGGCAGCGCTGTGAGTCCACAAAATAGCTCCGCTCCTGTGCAGCGTGGCACTGTGGCACTTGTTCCTCCCTCCCCCGCCCCTTCCCCTGCTGGTTTTCCTCCCAAACCCCCAGCCCGGGTGCAGCGTAGGAGCGGGGTGCCGGGTGTGCGGGGGAGGGTTTGCCCGCGGGTCTGACCCCAGGCCTGCCGTGGGTGTTGCAGGTGGTGCGGCGCCACATCCTGGGCTCCATCGTGCAGAGCGAGAGCAGCTACGTGGACTCGTTAAAGCGAATTCTCCAGGTGATGACGCACTTAAGCCCCCTCCCCCGAGCACGGCTGGACCGCAGCCTGCAGTTCTAATCCCCCTTCCCAGCTGTCCCCCACTGGCTGCCCGCCCCAGGGGCCTCCCCGCTGGCCACCGCCTTCCCTGCCGGCTGCCCTCCCAAGCCATGGCCCTGCTCTGCTGGCTGCCTGAGCTGCTGCTCCTGCCTCTCTGAGCCCGGTGGAGGAGCAGCAACGGGACGATGAGGGGAAACGGCTGGGGGGAGGCGGGCAGGGCAGGTGGTTTAAAACCATCAAACCGCTTCACGGCCTGTGCTGCTGGTTCCGACCAGCTCAGGGCCCTGGTGCTCGATGCTGGGGGAGTTGGTCCCTGTCCGGAAGAGCTCACGGGACGGCAGAGAAGCCCCCAGGCAGCCAGAGTGAGGGTTCAGCGCAATCCCCCGTCTCGCAGCTGGGGGCTGGGAAGGGGCAGCCAAGGCTGGGAAGTTCACGGGGGCCCCCAGCTCATTGTGGCTCCTCTGGGGGGCCCTGAGTGAGTGATCTAGGGTGGTGAGGGCAGGGGGAGGCTGGGCCAGGCCGCTTTAAACCCTCCTCTGGGGCCTCCAGGACTACAGACACCCCCTGATGGAGATGGAGCCCAAAGTCCTCAGCGCCAGGAAGTGCCAGGTGGTTTTCTTCCGCCTCAAGGAAATCCTGCACTGCCACTCCATGTTCCAGATCGCCCTGTCCTCCCGCGTGGCCGAGTGGGACACCGCAGAGAAAATCGGGGACCTCTTCGTGGCCTCGGTAAGAGGCACTTTCTAGAGCGAGGGGAAGGAGCGTGGATCCACCCCAACCCACGGCCCTTTCCCACGGCCGGGGCAGTGGGGGGGGGGGTCAAGAGCCCTGCCCCCGGCAGGCAG